AATCTATATTGGTTGATGAATGTCGGTATAGAAATGATTGTTCAAAGTGAAAAAATGCGATCCAATCTGGATTTATTGATTAAAAGAAAAGTTTTTGGACCTGTAGTCCAAACACTTGAAGGTGTAAAACCAGTAGAATATAAATGGATATTTATATGAGAATCCCCGAAAGATTCAACATGCCTGAAGCATGCAAATCAAATCCTAAAGATATTTATTCTATTAAATTACAAAGGTCTCTATATGGGCTCAAACAATCTAGACGTATGTGGTATAACCGCCTCAATGAATGTCTGACCAAAGAAAGTTATACCAATGATCCAATATGTCCATGTGTTTTTATCAAGAAAAATGGATCAAATTTTGTAGTAATTGCTGTATATGTTGATGATCTAAATTTGATTGGAACTCCTGAAGAGATTCAAAATAATGTTGAATATTTGAAGAAGGAATTTGATATCAAAGATTTTGGAAAAATAAAATTCCTTGGTTTACAAATCGAGCATTTGAAAAGTGAATATTTGTCCACCAAACTGCTTATACCCGGAGGTATTAAAGCAGTTTTATATGGATAAGGCACATACATTAAGTACTCCAATGGTTGTCAGATTATTAGATCCTAATAAATATCCTTTTAGACCGCGAGAGGAAAATGAAGAGATACTTGGTCCTGAAGTACCATATCTCAGTGCCATTGGCGAAGAATATTGGAATGCGACGATTAAAAGATCTCAAATAATGTTTGCATCAGGGGGAGAAATTAATACACAAGAATAGTGTACTCTTTTTCCTTCACTAGGGTTTTTGTCCCGATGGGTTTTTCCCTGGTAAGGTTTTAACGAGGCATATTCTTTGTGTAATGGACATCCAAGGGGGAGTGTTATGAAACAATTAAAAGTATGGATGTCCCTTTGTATTTCCAAGAGAATTAATCCATGATTTATGGCTACATTATGTATAGAAGTTACAATCCATAAATCTATTCATGTAGTGGAGAAACCGTTTCATAGGTTTCTTCATATTCTTGTAGTAGTGGGTGTTTAATAGAATTGATGTACCTTTAATCTTGTAGTACCTATATATAGAGGTACATTGACACCCTTTGGGAAGACTTTTGTATTAGTTGAAATATAAGAAAATCACTCTCCATTCCTCTACTTCTTTCTCCAATATTTCACTTGATATTATAGTAGTTTATTTTATTAGTTTCACAACAAAACTGCAATTGAAAACAAACATCAAACTATGCAACTAAACCAAAGAATAACAAACCAAGAAAGAGGGATTGCGAAATCATATTCTGCTTTCGTGGGTAGATTCAGAATTTCATTTCAGGGGATCACCTAAATCTCTTTAATTTTAAATAAATGTTTAAAGGGCCAAAGATCAAGAAATTAAGATAATTGTACAGTGACAAAATGTAAATATGGAACTGAACAAAGAATAAGAAAACAAGAAAGTAACCTTCCAAATTGTTATCACCGAGATGTAGCTCCTCGAGCATTTTCAAGTTCCCCACCGCTTTTGGTATGTAACCATTGAACTGGTTGTATGACAAATCCAACGACTTGAGTCCGGAGCAGTTTGATAAACCTGATAGTATCTGGCCACTCAATTGATTCCAAGACAGATCGAGCTCTTTTAGATTTGGAAGGTTGTCGCACATGTTAGCAGGTAGATGGCCAACAAAATTATTCTCTGTCAACGATAGGTATTGAAGTCTATCCAAGACACCCAAGCATGATGGAATTTCTCCCGCGAGATTATTGTAGCTTAAAGCCATGAAACTTAGTCGATGCAAATGAGACATTCCTTCTGGCAAATGACCATGAAAACTGTTGCTGCTCATGTCGAGAGAAACAAGGAATGAGAGGTTTCCCAGTTGTGGAGGAATCGTGCCTGCAAGACCCATGTTAGAAATATTTAAGGCCATCACTCTTTGACGACTAGAGTCACATGTAACTCCGATCCAATTACAAACAGAAGAAGAAATGGACCAATTTTTTGCCACAATTGAGTGAGGATCAAGAACTATGTGATTTTTGAAAGCTACAAGGGCAGATTTATCATTTATGATATCGGCTGTGCCCACGGCTAGCAAAGAAGTGGCTAATAAAAGTCCTACAGGAAAGTAATAGTGTGCTCTCTCCATTTCTTTTGACTAAGCTTATAAATAGAGCTGACGATGGGGAAGTAAGTATGTATATACTTCCATTGAGATGCAATATTTGTATCTCAAGACCAAATGCTGTCAACTACTAGCAGCATTTATGATTATGAAATGGATTCTGTCTAACAATGGCATTGTATGGAGGGAAAGACAGACCATCTCCATCAACCCACAATGGGAACGAATTTTCCTACGACTGAATTTTCCTAGTAAGAGTAAAGAGATTAACTTTGATTTGTGACACTAACAGTGGCAGACCTGCACCGAAGTTCGTATTTTTCTTTATCATGCGAAACATCCATTCATTCCAAATATACAATTCTTAAATATTTCGACCAAGAAGTTGATTTTTTACGTTATTTTTAATCCATCAAATTTTGCCCATGTATTTAGGCACTTTTAATTAAACTACGTAAATACAAATTGTCAAAATAACTATTCATTTTACTTTTATTTTTTACTTTTCAACACAATCAGCCTTAAGCATTATAACTACTAATGTAAAAATTATACTGTGAAAATTTGTTTTGTTTACATTAACAATACAAATTTTATATCAAATTCATTAATCAATGGGGCCTGCCACAAATCACATTTTTCTTTGCCGTGGGAATTTAGACGTGGGCTTGACTTCTCACTGAGAATGCTCTCATGATGTGCTACGGTAGGAAGGAACATCACTACCTACCATAGATGACTCCTATTGGTTCTCCATATTTGACACGCCTGTTGACGTGGAAATTTTGGCAAAGACTTGTGGAAACTAAAACATTCTTATTAATTAGTTAATGTGACAGAAATTTAATATCCAATTTTGATCACGACTTAAACTAAATGAAAACTAGTCTCGTTTGACTCTTCATATTAGCAACCAGGTTTTAGCCAATTTTAAATGGCCCAAGCATATCCAAATACTTTATTGCTAACATATCCTCTTCGATAGGATTGATCATGCTATTAATAACTTTGTGATACAAATTTATGTATACTTTCTTACAAGATGAAAATCTAATTAAAATGGAAGGTAAGTATATATTTCTACAATGCAAATGAAGGGGAAAAGTCATGGAAAAATCAAGAAGAAAAATGTTAGAAAACAATAAAAGAGTTGATTAGAAAAAAACCAAATATGAGTAGAAGTTTTAGAGAAATAAATAAGGTTTAAACAAATGAAAGATGAAAAGTTAGACTTGTCACACAAGAAGAACGAAAACAAAAAGATTGATTTTATCAAACAATATGAAAGACTTTAACATCTATGTCTTTCAAAATAAATGCATGGTGGAAAAAAGTTGTCTGTCCTTTTTATCCTTTGATTAGGATTCCTTAATTGTGGAAAAAAACCATCTCCATAGTTGACACGCCAATTGACGTGGAAATTTTGGCAAAGACTTGTGAAAACTATAGATTTTTATTGATTGGTTGGTGTTATTTGAGTGGTAGAAACTTAATATCCAACTAGGAAAAAATTTAATATTTAACTTTAATTACGACTTAAACAATAGGAAGATTTGGCTTGTTTGACCCTTTAAAAGACGAAGTGCATGCCACGTTATTGAATTTTCAAATGTGGAACTACCGTTAGATGTTATGAACCAACGTTATGGTTTTATTCAAATTCATCCGTTCATAAACAATATGAAAGACTTTAACATCTATGTCTTTCCAAATAAATGCAAGGTGGAAAAAAGTCGTCTTTCCTTTTTATCCTTTGATTAGGATTCCTTAATTGTGGAAAAAAATCATCTCCATATTTGACACCCCAATTGACGTGGAAATTTTGGCAAAGGCTTGTGAAAACTACAGATTTTTATTGATTGGTTGATGTTATATGAGTGGTAGAAACTTAATATCCTACCTGAAAAAAAATTTTATTATTTAACTTTGATTACGACTTAAACAATAGGAAGACTTGGCTTGTTTGACCTTTTAAAAGACGAAGTGCATATCACGTTATTGAACTATCAAATGTGGAACTTGTGAGAACCCGTAAATTTTCTTATTTTCTAGGTTTATTTTATTTAATTGCACGCTTTTCCATATTTTCTTTATTAGAAAAATTTTCTAAATAATTTTTATGGGTAAATATGGGTTTTAAATCATTTTTCTAGTATAAGTTAGTTCATGAGTTTTTAGGAGTGTATACCAGGCGTGGGACCCGCTAGTGCGGAAAGTTCGATAAAATTTGGCCAGTTAGGTTATGTTTTGTATACCGGGATTAGTTTATCAGGTGTTAAGAGATAATTAGAGGTTACCAAATGGATTGGTGTGGGAGAGACAAAAGGATAGTTTTGCATTAATAAGGGTAACAAGTGTCACTCTCCTATTTCTTCTTGGACTTGGACCAATTTACTTACTTTACCAAATAATCCAAAATTTGACCCGAAATCATCCTCATTTCAAGCTTTTTGTGGCCGGCCATCTCAAGGAGAAAAGAAAAGAAACACTCAACTTTCTTGCTCTCAATCTTGCTCAACCTAGCAAATCAACCGATTAAACTTGAAATTCCTCCATGTAGACACCAAAATTTTGTTAAAATTTTAATGTTTTTCTTGAATACTTTTTATTGAATTATTGATTTTCTTACATTATATATATATATATATATATATATATATATATATATATGTATTTCCAGATTTGTTTCTTTAAAAAAAAAAAAAAAGATAAGAGGAAGTGGCGTTGGCCATCATGATGTTTAGATATCATGATGGCCACCAAATTTTGCTTTGACCAAGCTTTGGCGGACACAATTCCAGTAACGAATGGAAGAAGGAATGAAAAAAAAAAAAAGCAAAAGAAGAAGGAAAAGGAGCTTTTGGCTTCTATTATTGGCACTTTCTCTTGGACAAGATAAAAGGGACAAGAAGCAAGAGAGGAAAGGGGAAGGATGGGCAAAAGAAAAGAAAAGCAACGGATCTAATAAAAAAGGAACACGAGGGAGAAAAAAAAAAAAAACGCAGAAATTTCCTCTGCAAAACCCACAACAAGGTTGACGTTTCAGCCTACTTTCCTCCAGAATCGTTGCTGCCACACACCTGGTTCAACTGGCAACCTCGCTCAAAGCTGCTTCCACCTGGTTTTTGCTCACACAAATCCAGTCCAGAAGCGTTTCCAGGTAAGCCAAAACTTTTCTTTGCTCAATCTGACATTTGCAGAAGGGTTTGGATGCTGTGGGTTTTATTTTGTACAAGTTTCATGATTTAGTAAAGCTTATGTGTATGAAAATTTATTGCTCAAATGTTTTGGAGGATTTTTAGATGAGATTCTGTTTGTTTTGATTAAAAATTTGTAGGTTTCAGTTTTTTTTTAGATGAAAGCTGAAGTCACTTGTTTGTCTTCTTTGCATTTCGTTTTGCCTTCTGTTGCTTTGGATCCCTTGAATGGAATGTTTGTTATGAAGTTTTGTTGAAAAAATGGATTAAGGTCTTTGTATTAATTTAGTTGACGAATTGTTAGCTTTTGTTCGAGTTTTCTTGGCATAAATGCATCTGGGTTGAGGAAAGAAAGTTGCAGAGGATCTTCTGAATTGTTGTGGAAGAAGAAAGCTTTCGAAGGTTGCATGAATAAGTTGAAAAAATTTCAGATTTATCCCCCAACTTTTACTTAACTCTAATAAGGCCCAAAAACTTCTGCAAATAAATCATTTTACCCCTTTCAAGCTTAAAATTTTTTTTTATGTTTTAATTGTGCTTTTAGTTAATTAATTCTGGATTTTGGAATGAAGTTAGACTTTAACATTTTTTAGTTCAACTATTAGTTTGTTGGGTTTTGGTAAAATGAAAGGGGAATCGGATTTGGCTATTTGTTTGGGTTACTTGGAATTGGGTTAGGTTTTTTTTTATTTGGGTTTGTCCTGGGCTGAAGGGTTAAAGCCCATCAGCTGGTTGGTTTATTCTTGGGGTTAGAATAGTGGACTGGCTCATTCCTTTTGCTTTGGATTTCGATTGGGCTAGGAGGGTCTTTGGCCCAAAGAAATAAGAGAGATGGGTCTTTGGCCTTTGTATCATTCCAGTCCCTTAACTTTCGGATATTTTCGCTATGGTCCTAAAAGCTTTCAATTTCTTTCCATTAGATCTCTAATTTAATTGCAAATAGGTTCCTAAACTTTATTTTTCTTTAATTTGGGCCCTATATTTTTGTGATAATTATAATTTGATCCCTAAGACTTTATTAATTTGTGCAATTAGGTCCCTAATGGATTTGATTGCTTAAATAGAAGTTGCTTTTCTTCTATAATCATTGATTACACTTTATTTAAGGGTTTCAATTGATTGATTTCATGTTTATTTTCATTTGTTATGATTTATTTGTTAATTAAATTGGTGCCTTGATGATTTTGTTAATTTTGGAGTTAAATAGGTAAAATCAAACCCAATTAGCTACTACTTCAAGTGAGGTATCTTCTTGTTTTATTTTAAATTCTCTTATGTGCTCTTATGTTTTTTTATGTGTGAATTTGCATGTTTTGAGTGATTTTCTTTTAGTTATTTGTTTTTATTCGTTCTAAGTTTCATATATTTAATTCAATTTTTGATGATTATTTGAGAGTCAATTAAATGCCAAATTGTAATAGTCAGATTATTATTATTTTTATTATTCTTTACCCCTTTAGATTGTAGTTAGTGACCCCGAATGTAATAGTTAGGTCTCTATTTGTTTTTATGCTTATTTGCTATGTGTTACTGCTTTTCTTAGGATTTTGGCATTTAGATATTATGTTTACGTGTTATGTGCTATGTGCTCTTATGTGTTTATTTGTTTTAATTTATACTTTATTTGTTTCACTATGAATTGTTAATGCATAACGTCACCACACTAGTCCAACGCTAGTTGTGGCTTATCCCTTCGCTTACTTGCTAGTCCAACGCTAGTAAGGATTTTTAGAAATGGGCTAATCCAACGCTAGACCCTTAGATTGTTCATGCATTAGATTCATCTTTTGTATGATATCCATTACATTTCCATGCATACTTTATTTTTTAGAATTTTCTCATTTGCATGATATTTTCTATTATATTATCCTCTACCCCCTACCCTCTATATGTGTTAATCATATCATTTAGAATTGCACTTCATTTAAGAAATTGTGGAATAAGTTAGTTCATTTGCTTGTTCTTATTAGGAGAATTACTTTTGAACATGGATATGGGTGATTATAACTCTTTAGTTTAAATACCCCATTAATCCTTGTATAAGAAAATTATATCACGAGTTTTGTCTCCCATACCCATTATGCTGCATTTCCTTTTTCTTTGATCACTTATACCTATGTATATAATTTAATTTTCTTTTATTTTATTTTCTTTTAATTTCATCATTTGCATACTCGTGACCTCTTCAAGAAATTATTTTAGCCTTCGCAATCAATGCGATTGGTTCAATTAAACCCTTGAATGAACATTTTGTCCCTTTCGATATTTTTATAAATTTAGATTTGCATCCATATAGGAAACATCCAAACGTGATAAAATTAGGGGTTAGATTAAGAAAATTTTGACTAAACCACGCAACTAGCTTAGACTAGGTTGAAAGGGTGCCTTAGGTTTGAGATAATCGAACCTTTGCCTTCCCTTTCTTCAACCGTGACTCCCGAACTCATTTTCTCTGTTTTCAAAGACCTGGAGTTGTCGAAAAGGGTTTATTTTATTTAAAAACACTTTTTGGGTGACTTGGTACACCCAAACTCAATACCAAGTGGCGACTCCTATTTTTTCTTAAAAACCCTTTTTAGACTAAATTTTGGACCCAAATTGTCGCATTTTTAAAGTCCCATTTTAGGTCCCTTTTCACTTATTTTAGAATAAAATCACATCTTTTTATAATACCTTTTATTTTCCCATCGCGAAAAAATGGGGCGCGACACTCCATAAAAACTCTTAATTTAGTGGTAGAGAGGTTGGTTGTGAAGTGGTTTGGAAGAAAGTGGTACTAAGTTGACTCCTTTCTTGAGTTGGTAAGGTGAATAGCTAAGGAACCTCTCATTTGTTCTCAATAATGGTTAATTAGTGGCTTATGTGAGTTAAAGAGATGGTTTTAGGTGTCATTTCATGACTTTTGGTAGAGATTGGTGAATTTTTATAATTATTCATGATTTTTCTGTTTTTATATGTTTATTATTGGTTGGCCATGGATGATGGATTGGAATGGTCTAGAGTGAAGCTATAGTGCGTGAGTTGTGGCTATTTGCGGAAAATTTCCGCTTTGAATGGAAAATTTTGGATTTAGGGTTTGTAATTGGGGCTTTTCTAGGGATGCTATATAGCACTTGAATTGACTTTGTTTAAAGGGTTTTGTGACCCTAATACGTTGTATTGAGGGGTTTATGACTTGTAGTGGTAATGGTGATTGTGTTTGGAAAGTATGGATGAATGTTGGTAGGTTGGAAACTTGGAATTATAAGGGGATATGCTGTCCAAATCGGGGGGTTCTTGTGTTTTATTGGACTTGGGTTGCTTTAGGGCTAATTAGAGACCTTAGGGTTGTCTAAACCCTTAGCGCCGAGTGTTTCTTATTTTATTTGCAAGTTCCTTTGGTTTTATATTAATGACTTGTGGCTTAGATTTATGACTCGTAATCGAGTCTCATTGTGCTTGTTTGAATGTTTTAGGGCGTGACGGTGACTCGAGACGCTCGTCGGGTGAAAATTTGTGAAACTTCCTTTGTTTGATTGGTGAGTGTACTACTCACTTGATTGTTACTATATGGTTTTGTCACACTTGAAATCTATGCCTTGAATGCTTATGTGCACTGTTGACATTGATTGAAACGAGGGTGTACTCTATCACTCTCGCCCTTTATGTCTTATATAATCGTTTACTGTGTTACTTGAATGGCACATGAATATACTTGAATTGGTGTCGTTTGGACGAGTATCCAACGACCAATACTGTTATCACTGAGCTCAACCCCATTGGTGGTCAATTGAATCGAGCTGGCAAGGGCTTGGTCGTGAAAATTGACGAGCCATGGGAACTGTTATGTGGAATCCTTGAGTATGAGACTCTCGATTCTGGTATACTCGAGTATTACCATTTCTAAACTGTTTGGAGTTCGGGCCCGGTAGGGGTATGTGAGGTGGAAGGTATGGGAGTAAAGTGGAGTCTACGTTTGGTTACCCTTTGTACATTGACGGAGGGTCAATGAGGTAAGATCAAGTACGGCAAGCGAGAAAAGAGGCTCTTGAGAGCCGTCCGTATCCTTTTGCCACTTTTATTGATATGTAACATTAGTTAGCCTCTTTATTGAATGAATTTGGAATGATCGACTCTATGCTTATATAAACTTCCTTGCTTGAGTGAAAGTATCTCACTGGGCGAAAGCTCACCTTATTACTTTTGTTTTCCTTACAAGGAATTGAACACTTTTGAAAGGCTATGATAGTTGGTTGCCGAGTGAGCTAGTTTTAAATACTCTTTTGTATAGCTCCTCAACGAATGAAACCCTAAGTGCATTTTGATCCAACCTTATCTTTTGAGTTGTAATGTTGGAACCGTACATGTATAAACTCGTTTGATAACTTTTGTATGCTATTTTGGCTTGTAAATGTTTGATTTCAAGGTGTATATGCTTTGTGGATGATTGGACGGATTTCGGGCAAATTCGGACTTCAAACGGAGGGAAAAAAAATTTTGGCGGGAAAGGACAGGGGCGAATCCGGCCAGAAATTGGCCGGATTGCCCTGAAAAAAAAATGGATCCGGTCAGTTGCTCTCTGGCCAGAATCCGGCCGGAACTTGGCCGGATTCGCGGCCGGATTGCCCTGGAAAAATATGAATCCGGTCATTTGCTCTCTGGCCAGTATCCGGCCAGGAATCCGGCCGGAAATCTGGTCGGATTCTGACGTGTCAGGCACTGTTCATGTTCGGCTCCGATTTTTGTTTTTCCGTTTTGTGAATTTTGACTTGTTTTAGCGCGCTTTTCTCTTCCGGAACATTTTAGATCGCATTTAACTGTCTCGTTAGTCCTGGCGAGAGTTGGACAGCCAGTTCACTAACCCCTTTGGTACACCTTAGGGGAAGGTGGGGTTGTCACAGAACTACCGTTAGATGTTATGAACCAACTTTATGGTTTTATTCAAATTCATCAGTTCTATTAAGTTTTAGTCCCACAGTATAATATAGGATAAATTACCTACAATCCCCTGTGACTTTACATAATCCCAAATAACCCCCTAGCGATTTAAAAATAGCCACATAATCTCTCTATGATTTTATGTAAAGTGAAAAATGGACAGAATGCACAATCAATTACGGTGTTTGTACCTAATAGAGCAATTATTTGGCACATTTTGCAATGTTGTTTTGTCCGAATTTTGGCTACTTACTGTGCTAAGTATTGAGATTTTGCTCATATTTCATATTTATATGAATTATAGGTGGTTGGTGTAAAACGTGCTTTCACGAGACAAAATTTCAGAAGATTCTCTATTTCATGACATGACCACGCCAGAGAACAGAAGAGGTACATCAAAAGGACGGACCCGTGGGATTAACGTGAGGAAACCAAAGGTGGTCCACATGAACCAGGCGCATGGGATCGGACCCCCTGAGACAAGGCCTTAACTTTTTTGTGAATGTCTCCTGCGGCGGCTACGGAAGATATAAGAGGAAGCCAGAGTCACGTCAAAAGGACACATTATCTTTTGTTTTCTTTTTTCCTTTTTTGTCAGACGCTTTTGGTCCTTTCTCTTTAGCCGCAATTAGAAAAAAAAAAAAAAGAGGTGAGATTGACGTCTAATCAATTAGCTAAGCTTCAATTCCCCTTTGCCCATCGGTCAGAAGAGGAAGATTCCTCCATTGCTTTTTGGGCTTTGTATGAACGAGACTCTTTTCGCTCGACTTTGGCTCTGAACAATTTTCATTAGTTTTTGTTCTTGCACTCGCGGCTCCAAAAAAAAAAGCAAAGGCAGGGCCTTCTCTGTTGTCACTGCAATTAATTTCCCTTCCCCAATTCTTCAGCAAATAATTGAATGAATTCAATTAAATCACGCGGGATTGACACGATGAGGAGCGGCTAATTTTCTTCTCTATCCAAAGGTCGACGCGAGGGCGCGGTCCATAACATCTGTGAGATCTAACCGGATCTTTATTATTTCTTTCAATTCGTTACTATTCATGTGTTTCCTGAATTAATTGTTCATGGGTATTGTATTAATTAGGTATCAACGGTCGGATATTTAATTTAATATAATAGCCTACTGTCACGTTAATTAAATTGAATCCGTAATTGTTTATTTAGTTGACGACTAGTGGCAACCACCATAATTGGTTTTATGTTGGGGAAACACAAGATCTAATTTAAATAAACCCTCTTAGCGTGTTTATTGGTTAGGGTTGGGTTCTTCTAACTTTAGTGCAATTGGGTAATTAAATTCCTACGGTCGTACCTAAGGTTGTTATCTGATTAGAGATGCGGTCAATGGTCGTACCTTGACTGTCGAGAAAGTAAGGAAGAACTGGTTGTCAGAGCTTGTTGATAACTATAACCAACCTAGTGATGAATGGATGAAATATCTTTGAATCGATGATCATTTAATTGGACCGTGCCTGAGTAGTTGATCCTTTGGGTAGAATTTTATTAATTGCTATTTTTAGTAAATTGCACTTGTGGAGTTATCGTTTGAATTTTATTTATTTTATTTCATTTTCATTTTCATCCCATTAATCACCCCCATTTTATTCTATTGATTTGGAAAGAAACAACTTCCTACCCGTTCCCTGTGGAATCGACCCTATTTGTCATTGTATGCAAATTTAATATTTTTATAGACAATTCCGGTATATCGGATCAAGCAAACTCTTCGGGAACAGGGTGAATCAAGTAACCCATTGCACACCTAGGGTCCCTGCTCCAGTACTCGGATTTGTTCTATAATTAATTGTGGTGGTAATTAGGACCTTTTTAGTAATTATTATTGCACAGGTTCGGCACCTGTCAACCAAACAATGCTCTAAAAGCACGTGTGATAAAATCTTAATTTTCATGTAACCTCCTCATGGTTTGTATAAATTTTCACTTTATTCCCCTATGATTTTTGCATTTATTCACGTAATCCCCCTATACTTTTATACAAAGTAGTTAAACTGTCAATTAATTTAGCATTTAAGTAAGGGCACTATTGGTATTTCAGTTAACGGCGTTAAGATTATTTTCTGTCAAATTTTCACTTTCAATAAAATCATAGCGGGTGAAGTGGATATTTTAAAATGTTCAGAAGATAATGTGGCAATAGAGAAACTTCGAGATTGTTATATGTAATTTAGATATAGTCTTGCCAAGAATAGATATAGTAGAGCCAATAGATATGTCTTGCCAAGGAGTCACTAAGTCAAAAAGATTTAGCATAGCTTCCGAACATTGAACTTTGATGGAAATTTGCAATAACATCTGCACTTGCATTTAAGGGATGATTCCTTACATTTCTCCCATGATTTAGTAGAGTTTCATAAACATTCCTTAGATATTGAAATTTGCTTTTTTAAACAAAACAAACCCAAAATTAACGATGACATCATCAGATTGTACTCTAACTTTGCAATACCCATATGTGGTTTTAAAAAAAAATTATTTCAATCATCATTGATCTTAATTATTGTTTCCTTGCTCTTTTTTTTTTTAATTTTTTGCAAATTCGGGTATAAGTATTCTTTTCATGGTTATCATAGCATCTGTCTCGCCAAGAGAGTAAGTGTAATTTTTCAGATACTTAAACAAGGCTAAACCTCAAGGGAGGTATGTAAAGTTATTCCCGAATTTAAACCACTTTAAAGATATTTTCTGGCTCCTCCTTAATTTGCTTTGCTGAAGCTTTATACGATGAGTATGTTTCCATGTGTTGAAAATTTATCACCTTTACAAAAACCACTATGATTTCTCTAATTAGAATTAATTTTTCTCAAAATTCATACCCTAGTGCTTGCACGACTTTCATAAAAACGCGGTTTTTTCTTTTTTTTCTTTTTAAATTCTCGTGTGACCCTTGATAAAACTGCATAAAGCAAGACCACGTCAATTATACTTAAATTGGAAACTTCATTAAAACTACTTTATATTAGTGGAAGAAGTTGTTGACAGAAGAATTCAGTGTCACAAAACTTACAAACGAGTACAAAAATTGGTGAATTACAAAATTTTGGCAGTACCGCAAAAAATAAAGATTGTTTTAGCGTCTCTTCAGGCACTATTATATTGGTTTTACAGTGATCCCACCTCAAGATTCTAACTGTATGGACAGTTGCAACTTGCAAGAATGTATGCACCTGTAACTAAAACCTCCGGTCAAGCTTTAGACATGAGGAACCAATCATCTTTACAAGAACCTTTCGGACCAAAAGAAATAAAAAGAAAAAAGAAAAAAAATCAACACATCCGAAATAATTTGGTTCAATAGTTGAATCATATTGATTACATGAAATGAAACCTAGATAAATATCTTGAATTCTTAAATTACATATGTTGCCTTGAGTAGTCGCCAATGGCTAGCTCCACGAGTGATGGAGGGCAAAGAAGTGAAATATCGGCTGCAATTTCAACAATCAGATTGAATAAAATATAATTTTCCTTTGATGCCTAGCAAGAATTGGGCAGTGAAATGCCCAATTCTCCTATCCGTAATCTTAAATAAAAACAAGAGAATAGGAGGAAAAAAAGGTTATCATTAGATAACAACAAAACAAAGAAAGAAAAGAGAATGAACTTCAAATTCAATCCCTCTAAAATAGATGTTCTTAGGGCAAAAAAACCAAAAAAAAAAAGACAAAAGCATGAAAAATATTTTGATGGAATGTATAAAGTTGGATAGAATTGGTCATGTAATTAATCAGATTGTGTAATGGTATTTTAAGTACGGTTTTGTACAAGATGAAAATCCAAATAAAATGAAAGGTAAGTGTATCTTTCTACAACAGAAATGAAGGGGGGGAAGTGTGGAAAAATCACGAAGAAAAATGTTAGAAACCAAGAAAAGATTTGATTAGAATATCAAATGTCAGTGGAAGGTCCAGAGAAATAAATAAAGTTTAGACAAATGAAAGATGAAAACCTAGACTTGTCTCATAATTGGAATGGAAACAAAAAGATTGTGATTTGATCAAACAATATGAAAGATTTTAACATCTATGTCTTCCAAAATTAATGCAAGGTGGAAAAAGGCTCTCTTCCCCTTTTTTTTCCTTTGATTAGGATTCCTTAATTGTGGGAAAAAAAAAAGAAGATCATCTCCAGGTTTGACATGCTAGTTGAGGTGAAAAATTTTGGCAAAGACTCGTGGAAACTACAGATTTTTATTGATTAGTTGATGTTATATGAGCGGTAGAATCTTAATATCCAACTAAAAAAAAATTTTAATATCCAACTTTGATGACGACTTAAACAATAAGAAAACTTGACTTATTTCACCCTTCAAAAGTTGAAATGCATATCACATTATTGGACCGTCAAAGGTACAATTACTATTAGATGTTATGAACAACCTTTATGGTTTTAATCAAATCCATCAGTTCTATTAAGTTTTAGTCCCACCATCTAATATAGGGTAAATTACTTGTAATCCCCCTCTGATTTTACGTGATGCCAAATAACCCCTCTAAGGTTTCAAAATAGTTGCAGAACCCCTATATGATTTTATATGCACAATCAGTTACGATATTTATACCAACGTGCTCTAAAAGCGTGTGCGATAAAATTTTAATCTCTATATAACTCCTTTATAGTTTGTATAAATATCCACGTTATCCCCCTACGATTTTTGCATTTGTCCACGTAATTTTCATTTTCCTATACTTTTAAATAAGGTAGTTAAGTCAGCAATTAATTTAGCATTTAAATAAGAGCGCTATTGATATTTCAATTAATGGCATTGCATGGGTTATTTTTTGTCAAGTTTCCACTTTATGACAAAAAAATTATTGGGGGTGAAGTGAACATTTTGAAATGTTAGGAAATCATGTGGCAATAGACAAAACCACAAGAGAGTTATATGTAATTTACCCTATAGCATATGTATTAGCACAATAGATATAGTCTTGCCAACAGAAGTCACCAAGTCAGTCAAAAAGATTTAGCATAGCTTCATAAAACATTGAATTTTGATGGAAATTTGCAATAGCATCTGCACTTGCATTTACAGGATAATTCCTTACATCTCCTCCAAGATTTAGCATAGTTTGATAAAAATTCCTCGGATATTGAAATTTGCATTTTTAAACAAAACAAACCCAAAATTAATGATGACATCATCAAATTGTACTCTAATTTGCAATACCCTCAGGTAGTTTTAAAAAAATTATTTCAATCATCATATTATGTTCTCGATCTTCTGTTTTTGTTTTGCTTTTTGATTTTTGCAAATTTGTTGGGTATAAGTATTCTTTTCAAGGTTATCATAGCAATTGCCCTGCTAAGAGAGCAAGTGTAATTTTTTGATACCTAAACCTCAAGAGAGGTATGTAAGCCTTTAACATCTATGTCTTCCAAAATTAATGCAAGCTGGAAAATGGTTGTCTTTCCTCTTCTTTTTTTTTTCCTTTGATTAGGATTCCTTAATTGTGGTAAGTTTAAATTAAAAGAAATATAAAAAAATTAATAATGTATTAACTTGTACCATCCATTTTATTCCTACGTCCAGTTAATTGGTTTTTATGTTTGCACATCTTGTGATTTAGTACTTACAGTTTGTTCATATGTACATACAACTTGTGGTTTCGATTACCGGACATTCATTTGTTGTGCAACTTGTCATTTGGTAACAAATACCCTTAGCTTACACATGAATTTTCTTCCCATAAGTTCTGCCGCTAACAAGTACTATGTGACGAGGGAAAAAAGATCATCTCCATATTTGACACGCCAGTTGACGTGGAAATTTTGGCAAGGACTTGTGGAAACTAAAGATTTTTATTAATTAGTTGATGTTATATAAATGGTGAAAACTTAATATTTAACTTTAATGATAACTTAAACTATAGAAAGGTCTATAGCTTGTTTGACCCTTCAAAAGACAATATGTATATCACGTTATTGAACCGTCAAAGATGATAAGGAACTACCTTTAGAAAATTTTGCAAGTTTGAGACCAAATCAAAGTTAACTTGAGAGAGTTCAAATGACATTAATCCTATTCATGCAAACCCCAGATCGATCAATACTAAAAGTTTGTGTTTTTTGATTTAATGATTTTAAAAGTATTATTTTTATCGAAAAATGCTGTTGCACTCCCATTTTTATTAATCACACTTTTGCTATCATTTTAATTATATAATTTTTATTTATTAAATTATATGATAAAATAAATAGTGGGAGTGCAAAAAATAAAAAATAGAGTGTGAATAATATATATATATTTTTATCTAAGTTACAAAATATAACAAAGGATGCAGTTCGAAAGACGTCACAATCACAAATCCCTAGATGAAAATTGAAGAAACCACAAAACTAGTGCCAATATAGATCTTTATGGCAAGGAAGTTCCGTCATCCTGTGATTCAAATTCCAAAGATGATCCCAGGCTAATTTCTCTGTAAGGAAAGAAACTTTCAATGGCGGTGCCGGCACATCCCAAAATTGCCCCAACATGATGGCACTTCCCATAAAGTACGCCACATTTTTCATGGAAGCGTTCAATGTCGGCCACGAACATTGTGACATTTTCCTCGTACGTGCCATTTTTGTTAACTAAAATAATTCAGAGTTTCCATAGCCACAAAACTTTGTTTCTCTTTTTTGACTTTCCATATTTACTTCTTTCAAACATCTTGCTGCAACGTTTTTCACGTTTAGTAGAAGAAGAAGTTCTTGAAAACCATAGTAAAATAAGCTCACTTAAGAGGGACGAATGTGATTCACTTAACAACATATACTAAACTAGGCAAGTGACTTTTATATACTGTAGACTGAAAAAATGCTTGTATCCACCATTTTGTCTAACATTTTCCTTATGCTGATCATCCCCTATGAGGTTCTTTTTCTCGAGAACATGATGCATTCTTGTGGTAGTGCTCAACTTTTGGGCTCCTTTTCATTTATGATTTAACATATGTTCTTCAATCAGCATACAACTATACAAGGGTTCACATTGCCTCTAACTGATACCATTTTCTCGATCAACAGGGACTTGATTGAAGCCTAATACAGAAGAAGATGCTCTGATTGCAGGTTCCTATTAAAATTGGCCCACAAGTTGGCAAATATGGAAAGCAACATGCCTGACTCTTTTGTAATTCTTTATCACTGTCCAGATGCTGCACTCTCCTTGCTAGATGAGGATTTAAGGGAAGTTTGCTTTCCCCGTTTTGTTTGTAGAGATTTTAAATTCTGGTCTTTATATATCGTTATGTAAGTTTGTGTATACTCCGTTCTTGCCCAAACAAAAAGTGTCATTTTTACAGGTAAGTTATCCGGTGCGCACTCTCAAATAACAGTTACGGGTTCTTTGTTAACAAAAAAAAAAAATTATTTGGATGTAACAAATTTTAATTTCACAAAGTAGAAGTGCAAAAAGTGAGTCTCCTAGTTTCTTTATTAAACTAAAGGGAAGCAGCAGTTGAAAAAAAAAGTGCCCATAACATTGTAAAGTTCAAGGTTTCCACTGGACAGGGACTGTATATTTTTACCATCCACAAAAGGGGAATCCGCAGTTTTGCCTGTAGTAAAAAGAGTAACAGAACTAATAGAAAAGAGAAAGAGGGAGAGCAACAAAAATTTCTATTTGTGATCCACTAAGTACGAAGCATTTCTAAAACTAGAATCTACATAAAAACCAACTGTTATATGGCCAAACTGTTAAATCATCACCAAACTGCATTCACCTCATTTACAGTATTTAGGGAATCTTTTTATAGTTGCAAAATGGCCTTATATCGGATGTTTACAAAAAAATTTCCTGCAATTAAATTGCTTGACCATCATATCTGATGTTTACGAAATAATTTCCTCCAATATTCAAATTGCTTATCTTTTTCCTGTGTCTTGTGCAATTTCACAATGATGACTCCATTATTAGCCGTAGCATTTAAACGAAACCCAGTCTTACAAGATTTTAAGGAACATTCTTTCTAACTTTATTTTGAAATATCCAAAAATATTCGGGTCAAGTTTATCTTCAAACATCTCATTACTCCATGACCAAATGTTAGTCTACTTGTTGATTTTTTTTTTAATCAATAGTCTACTTGTTGATTTAATCAATAGTCTTTTGTCAAACGATTCTAGTTTATGTTTAAAAGATTTTTAAGACGTTATTTTTCAAAACAATTGTTTATAAGCTGATAATTATATTGCTGATGAAAATAACAAGTCCAAATAAAAAAATTCATATTTAAAAATTAAGAAAATATTATAATTCAATTAATATTTCAGTAAGTACATAAGTTATAAAGCAAAAAAACAAAAAAAGAGTCAAAGTTCTTTGTACAAGGTAAAAAACTAGCATAGCATAAACGAATAAAGTAAGAACAAAAAATATGCAGTGATATTGTACACTTTAAGGTAATTAAGTCAAATTTATACAAATTTTATTTCATTCTGACATTTAAAAAATGATAATATCAAGTAATAGAATCAGAATAAATCGTCCATTGTCTTATGTAGCAGGCTTTCTAGATTGATAAATTCTTTTCTAGATCATTCTAAATAGAAAAATATTTTAGGTCAGAGTGCCTTTCAATTCTCAACATTCCGAGTAGAGAAATATTTTGGGTAGGAAAATTTTATCATTCTAAACATTCCGATGTACCAAACATGTAATAAGACCGTAACAAGGAAATTGGGGAGGAACACTAACATAGGGAGTCACTTTCGAATGTTTGAATAGAGTATTATTTAAAATAATTATTATAATATTTTTTATAATATGATATATATGAGATAAAAAGTTGATTGAAAATATAAAAATATAAGTTAAAAAATATATTTATTATACAAGCGAAATATTATTTAAAAAAATTGCTATCCAAACACTAATTTTCCATTTTCCCCTGTATAGCTATTTTCTTTACAAATGAATTTAACCAAAATTTAATATATTCTTTTTACGCCAATCACAGGAAGACAAGTGTAATTAATCAACTCATGCAATTATCAAGGAAAAGGTTTCTCTTTTGGTAAAAAAAAAAGGAAAAGATTTCTCAAATTTATAAAAATTTAATTCCCATTTTCCGTAACAAGCGACCGGTTGCTCCCTGCACAACCGACTTGTCCGTAACCACAACTACGGATGTTCGAATCTCACTGAAGCCCAAAAATTGCAGTACAATTTCCCCCTAGTACTAGTAAAAATTAGGGTTCAATTCAGAGGCCGTGTCCGCAGATAACTCCAAAATCCAAACCACCGTAAAACACCGCGGCCTCCGCCGTCTACCGCCCAACATGACCTGCCAGCCATCAGAATCAGACTTCTCCGCCACCATCACGCGAATTGCCGTGGCACAGATTTCCCAATCAGTGGGCTACAGCGCAGCCCAAACCTCCGCTTTAGACGCCCTTGCCAGCGTCGCCGCCAGGTACCTGGGAGCCGTAGCCCGTTACGCCGCCGCCTCCGCCAATTCCTCCGGCCGCACCCAATCTAACATATTCGACATCGTCATTGCCCTTGAGGAACTGGGCTCCGTACAAGGATTCCTGGGTGCTCCTAATAGTTCATCACAGTGTTTGATTTCATCTTCGATTTTGAAAGAAATTGGGAGGTTTTTATTTTACAGCGATGAAGTCCCTTTTGCTCAGCCGATTCCCAGGCAAAATCGGCCGGCGGAATCGAGGAAAATTGGGAATGAGATGGGTTTGAAGCACGTGCCCGGATGGCTGCCGGATATGCCTGTAGTGGACGGAATGGGAATCGAAAAGGAGGGGAATGAAGAGCGGAATATTGGAGGGGGTTTTGTTGGGGAAGAAAGGAATCAAAGTAGGATGGCAAAAATGGGGAATGGGAGGGGAAAGGGATTTCAATTGCCTGAAAAGAGAGGAAAAGTCAGGTTTAGAATGGCAATGGGAGGTGGGAATTGGGGGTTTGGTATGGAGAGGAGGAATGGGGTATTAAGCAGAGGTGGAATTGGGAAGAGAATTCTCTGTGAGAGTTGGAGTGATGGTGATGGGAATGAGGAGGAAGGGAATAAGAAGAGAGTGATCAAGAGATCAAGATGACAAATTGATAATGATGATGATGATAAATTTTTGACAATTAGATATCATATATGCTAGATTCTTTTGCCTTTAAATTATTGAGTGAAGTACTTCTTACTTTTGAATTTTTACATTTTCTTTTGGAACGTTTTTCATCTATTTTATTTTACTGCTCTAGTTACATCAAGAATGCAATCCAGATTCCAGAGACCTTGTCAAAGCACTTATGGTAAAGAATTTTAGGTTGCTTCTTCAATCTAAGCACTTATGGTAAAGAATTTTAGGTTCCTCCTTCAATCTAAGCAAACAAATCATCTCTAGATGGTGTAGTATCGTTCCAGTGGACAAGAAAAACTTGACTGGGAAATTTGAGCAATGCAATGACTTGGGAAGCTTTGCCTATCACCAACCTCTCAAACATGTTTTCCAGATGATCTTAGCATAAATTTGTGCGGTCGAGGCCGAGTTCTTGCCTGATTTATCAACCATATTCCCAGCCATTAAGAATATCCGGCGGGAAGGGAGATTGCAAACAGGATCAAAACATGCCCAATCCAGCAACAACCTTTTGTCACCTTCTGTAACATGATAGACAAACATTCAATACTGCTGCTTTACCATGTAGCTACTCCGTACTCGTACCCTGAATTCTACCAGTCTCACAAAGTCTGTACTCCTCCATGCTTGTTCTTGCATCGATTTAAGTGACTGGAACTTCTCTTCGTCGAGATTAAAGGAGATTAGTCCAAGGCCTCCTGGCCAAACTGTAAGCATTTGTCATCGAATGGAGCAAGCGGATCAACTGGTGCAACTTTCTCCATGAAGAATTGTCACTCCTTTCATGAATTGGAGATGGGAAAATTATATAGGGCGGAAAAAATTGTTAGGATTCGTTAACCAGAAGATTTGAGTTATAAAACCAAAACAAGGCGTATGCTGCTATCCATCTTTTCAAACTTTCTGCCACAGAAATGAGGAGGCCCCTGCAATGACGATTCTGATATGCCTGGACAAATGGTGGATGCACACTTACATTGCAGAATAGTTATGAGTAATTCAAACTGCAAATCATCTATTGCTGTTAGACTTTCTTTATGGCATCTGTATTTTGATCATTAACACAGCAGAAAAAAACTCTGTTTATGCTGATCGTGTCTTTGCTGTGATCATCAACTGAGGTTCCGCTCATCTTGCAGCTCAATTCCGCATCAATGATCAGCCCCTCTCATAATCTTCTTCACTTTCGACTCTGTCTTCAGCATTTCTTGTCTTGCTCTCCCTCTTGCATACTTTGATCACCAACGATGCTCTGCTTATAGTTCGAAAGCAACAAACAATACAAATAGGACTAAAACTATAAATAAACCGTAGAGATGAACTACCTATATAATTCCAATGCTCATCTGTATATATAGAAGTTATGAGTTGTCACTTTGAACAATCAAATCTAGTTGCTTTCGCACTTATAGTGGTCAACAATTAATGCATCTTTTGTACTCGTCTGTTTAAGATTTAGCAACAGATGGAAAGCAAAAACATCAATTAAATCAAACAGAGAAAATCATTCATGGTCATTTTGATACTACAAGTTGAAACAGTTTAGCAATTCATTATCGTTTAGCCATTAAGAAAAACCCCAAAGAAAGGCTTCACCAACGCCCTTCCGAGAACTTATGCGAAAATTCCACCATTTTTATTCATTGCAGATGTTTTCGCAGTTTTCTTGAAGTTTTCAGTTTTCACTATCACCATACCTACTGCGACAATACTCGCAAGGGCATTTTGCAAATGCACGGTACAAATTTACAAACTATACCATGAAGCCCATAAAAATTACTAGTGGAGGTATTAAGATTAGGGTGCTTTCAAGATGGGACACTCGTATTTTGAGGTGCTTTCAAGTTCGGCTACCTGCACTGATACACAGAAGTTGGACCAGTGACCAAAGAGCAGGATAAGCAAAATTAGTATCATTTGTTGGGGGAATTTGTCCATTTGGAAAGAAAGTTGAAAATAGAAAATGTTGACAAAAAGAAATAGAATGGAAATGGGAGGAAGTTTGGTACCTGGGTTTAGAAGACTAGAGGACTAACACCACCGATTTATATAGAATTAGCTGGAGTGTCTTTTGGATTGTAGGAAAAATGTCTGATTTAATTAATGGCCAAATAGTCAATCTCAATCACAAAAAGGAAAGTGGTAATTAGTACCTTTTCTTTTACAGTCAATTTCAATTGTTTACAAATGGTGTGGTTAACAAGATATCAAACTGCAGTCAGAAGAAATCGATTAAATTTGTTGAAGAAATGAATTTAGTGTTCGTTTTGACGACAAGTGGCTACCAAGAGTGAGAACAGGTGGAAGGAATTAAGAAATAGATTAGTCCGCTGTGACATTAAAAGGGAAAAAAAGTAAGCAAAAATGGAAAATGAAGAGAAAAAAAAAAAAGGAAACGGTCTCCAAACCCGTTTTACTGGTTCGGGTTTAACCCAATTTTTTGAAAAGGGTTTGATGAATTTTTAGCCAGGCAAGTCTACTAGCTAATTAAACCAAACTTGAACATCAATTTCTATTTGATAAATCTTTTTAAGTTCGATTTGCGCTTGGCTCAATATGCATGTAAGTGAAATTAATATGTAAGCAGTTTAAGTTATTTGAGTTTGACTCAATAAAAATCGTTGGAATTTGACTCGAGAAGTAAAAGTCAATTTTAAACAAGATTTCAAACAAGTTTCAATACTAGAGTATTCGGCTTGTGTAGATTCGTTTATATCCCTAATTCACAACTCACTTTGGAAGTTTGAATATTTGGAAATATTTGCAATAAACTTGGACCGGACACTTGTCCGTTTTCGGTCCAACTGGTTGGACCAGCCAATCTGGTCCAAGTTTTAAAAAGAAAAAGTTGGGTGTGCGGTAAATAGAAGTTAGACTTGTCACTTTGAACGCTTAAATCTAATGGCTTTTGTACTTATTCTGGTCTGGTCATCAATTGAGGCATCTTTTGTGTAGTTTACATGTTTAGGATTTTATCAAAGAACTTTATGCAAATCAAACCAATCAACTCATTAATGGTCACCTAAGTGTCCCTGTCTGCGATCAAAGCATCTTGAGTACTTTCTTTGTTTAGGATTTAGCAAACAATTGAGAGACAAAATCATGAATATCATCAAACTGACCAAATCATTCAACGTCATTTTGATGCGATGTGTTTGAAACCCGTTTAGCAAGTCATTATTGTTTAGCCAATAAAAACAAATCCATAAGCAGAGACTTTATCAGAAATTATGCATAATTTCCAGTATATTGATTCATTACAAAAGTTCTGCAGTTATGTTGAAGTTTAACTATCAGCACCCCCACAATACTCGCAAGGTTTGCACAAGCACAATAAAATTATTAACTAGCACCTTACAGAAAAATTAAGGATGAAATTTAAGAAACGGTGAGAGAAAAACATCAATTGAGTCAATCTGACAAAATAATTCAAGCTTACTTCTGTGTAATATGTTGAAGCCCTTCAAGCTATTCATCATTGTTAAGCCATGAAGTGAACCCACAAGGATCCACCAGTGCCCTTCACTGAAAATTATGGAAATTCCCACCAATTTTATTCATTACTAATTAAGGTTCCACCATCTTTCTGAAGTTTTTAATCATTTACATCTGCAACAGGTGGAAGGACATTTGCAGGTGGATTCTTACAGCCGCAATAGGCGCAAGGACAATTGCACACGCAAAATATACATTTACAAAATTTATTCTTTAGCTCAGAAGCATAACTGACATTGGAGCTGTTAAGCTTTGGGTACTGGAAGGGGAAGACTCTCGTTTTCTCAGGCGGGTCGGCCCCTGATTCAGCCACCTCCACAACCACGCCAAAGTTTATCCATTGAGCAAAAACCAGGACAAGCGAAACAACCAACATCATTTGCAGGGAGATTTTGTTCATGCTGAAAGTTGAAAATGGAAAATTTTGACAGTAGGAAATAGGATGAAATTAGGAGGTGGATGAAGATGGATTTATATAGACTGAGCAAGACTGTTCTATATCTAGGATTCGGAAGTAGCCTGTCTTAATTAATGAGCAGATAGCAAAATTTTGGTCACAGCGGACCTTTCGATGGTTAGATTTTATATTTTTATATATGGTGTATTAAATAAGATGGAAGAAACAAATCTTGTTTGTTGAAGTATCGGCAAAAATTCAGATCCACAACCGACCTTTCGGTGGTTTTTTTTTTTTTTTTTTTTTTCTAATTTCATTTTTTTGGGGTTAAAAACTCAAAATCTTAGAATGCATTTAATAAAACTGAAATCAGATGTTTGAAATCCGAATCCGTCTGAATTGTTAAGTGCTAAATTTAATACATTTGAGTGTAAATCACATTAACTAGTAAGTGAATAATTTATCACTTATTATTTGGAGTAAGTTTTATTTAGAAAATTCAGTACCACTTAATTAATTCACATGTTCTATTTTTTGTTATCAAACGCATCTAAGATTTGAATCCATTAAATTTAAATATTGAATTGAGTTATCAAATAGTGCTTAAGAGGCTTACACTTGGGTAGAATCAATTTTCAAAAGCTCAATGATCCAAATTGTGCCACACTATCTTATCAAGTGATGTGGTACGGTTTAAGTTATTAGATCTTTAAAAATCGGATCTACCCAAGTTTTGACCGGCTTAAAAAAGGCAGGGAGAAAAAGGGGGGACTCAATAATCGTACAAGAAACCTTATTAATATTCCTGACCATTGGATTAAACATGTAAATAGCGAGTCAAATTCACTATTTGCCCATCTAAACCCACAAAATAAAATTATAGTACAAAGATAAGTCCATATATAACATCTAAATTGACGACTTGCACGTGTTTCAAAGATGTGTTTTAGGAAGGTTTGAGTCCAATTAATTGTTATCATCTGTGATCCAATCTTTCCAAGATACGTTCCATATGTGATCCGAAGGCCCAATTTATTTTTTATTTGAATCACGTAATAATTATAGTTAGCCATAAAAAGGAAAAAGGAGAAAATAAAAATATAAGAGTACAAATATGACTCCGGAAGTTCAAAAAGTACCCATTCCATGAATATAGGGAAAAAAAATCATCATCTGTCGCATCGAACCGAACCAAATTATGTATCATATACCTAAGAATAAAAAATAAGCACAATAAAAGAAGGGGATGGCCTAATACAATATTGTAATCCCCTGAATTATATAGATGTTTCGATGTTAAGAAATTGAATTGAGTTTTTGTTCAGTGTCCTTCACAAAAAGGTAGAAGAATCCAATTCAGCAATACCAGCCAACGCAATACGTATGCACATACATAATACCAGTCCATTAGTTCGTTAAGCCCCAAAATAAAAAATTAGAAGAAAAAGAAAGGATTCATCTATTTGCCAAATTTCGATTTTTGCTCATTAGTTTGATAGATTAACATCAGAATTTGATGAAATCTTTTCTTTCTTACACGTTCTCTCTCTATGCATCGGTTCTTACACGTTCTTTCTGCTTTCTTTCTATCATCAACCTTCTCTTCATCGTTCTTCCTTCACAGGAGAGAGATCTTGATCTCAAGTTAAGTCTACCTTCTTTTTCTTTTATTTTTTGTGTTATGTTTTATAAAGTCTCTCTTGAGAAATTCTAGTCAGAATTTTTTCTCTCCTAATGTTTATTAGTGAGGATTTTCTTCTCTTATATGCTATCCTAATAGGAATTTTTTTTGTTATTTTTCTCAGATCTAAGAATTTTTTCACATCTATATGTTAGATTTGGAATTTCTGAAATCTTCTCGTCATATTTCAATATCAATTTTGAACTTGAACCAGTTGAATAGTAGATTTGAGAGAATAGACATGCACAAATATTTATGGAAAAGCACGTGCAATTGGTTAGATTTGATAGTTTGTGATTCACAGTGTGATATTTCTTATTTTGTAGTTCTGTTAAATTTAATGATTTTTCAGATCATATGTATTTCGGATGCATTCTTTGTATTTTCTGCAATTAGCGCAACTTTTTTATCAAATAAATTGTGCTGGACAATTTTTAACTAGATTATTAATAATATTGACTTCTATTTTATCCCAATAAAAATTAGAATTTGATGACGGGGGACTCGAACGGACAAATACTACAAGTTTTTTTTTTTTTTTTCCAAATTGGCCATTTCACTCCGATATTCCCTCGTGACTCCATCAAGCCTGGATGAATGGCAGACTAAG